AAAAAAAAATCTAAAATTTAGCAAGACGCTCACCATGAACGAAAGGAGCCCAGTCAGTATGCTGCACCGTAATAGAAAATCAGCATACACAACTTAGATTGACCAATGTTTACTAATAATAATAATGAGAGAAGATTTTTTTTTTTTTTTTCCAAATTAGAAAATCCCTTACCTTGAGACGCCCCACATAGGGTTCCAACTCTCAGGATGAACTGGAAATGAAATCACATGAGTAGTGTGGCACGTTGAAAAATATTCAGACTATACAAAATATAGATAACATGCAAAACCATCTGACTTACAATCACTCATAGACAGGCATATCTTCTTTTGTGTCATAAAGCGTCCATTTGGAGTCGTCATACTATGAAGACACAAAACAATAGTTTTGAGTAAGTATGTCGTAATCCCAAAAACAATAAATCCCCTCTTAGCTTTAAATGTCACTTTAGACGAAACTGAAGATACCTGATTCCTGGAGGTTTGAATGGGTATTCTGGAGGAAACTTTATTTTTCCATAGTAATATCCACCTGCAGCGATAAAAAAAGGTAAAATGAAATGAGAAGGAGAAGTAAATTTGGAAACAAATCAAGAGGTTAAACCCAACGTTGTCAAGGTGAAGAACAATTTAACGAGAAAGAAAAAATGATTGATACCTGCAAAAGCTGTTCCTTGACTTCCCTCCAACACATAATCTGAACAGAAAAAACATAAAGAATGGTACTATTAGCAGATGAAGAAACAATCATTTGCTCTTACTTTCTTTAACAAAAATTGTCACTATCATCAGTCAACAGGCTTCACAAGTCTCCAGAAATTTAATTTCATATGTTACTCGTATTTAACTTCTTTATTTGGAAGTGATAGATCCATGGTGTAAGCATGTACATTTGCCCGACCCAACTAGACATCGGGAAAGTATTTCGTTCTTATATAAATCAATCAATACAATATCCAGATGTACATATCTCCATATTACTTTGGTTATCAGAACACGAAGGGAAAACAATTTGATTGCATCAAGCAAAGGAAAATGCTGTAAAACAAATTAATTATTTGACAAAGAGGAACTTACGCCAATCAAGAATGTCGTTCGGCAGAGGGCGTGCGACCACGTTGGAAACTGGTTCCTAAATTTAGTAAAAAGAAAAAAGATAACCAGTAAAAATACATGTGAGCAGGATTGCCCAGATCCACAATCAAACAACTGCAGAAAAAGTAGTTTAAAGAATCCAGTATGACCTTATTATGGCTCAGTATTTAAGGAAATATTAACCCCATTCAGGAAACTTCATAAATTAGAGCATCCTTTAATCATTAAATAAATGTTCAAACAACAAAAAATGTGGAATCAAATGAAAATATAATACCTATCCTTGATAGACAGATACTCCAATACTTTAATTATAATTGCAAATGAGCTCTACCAGGATAAATAAGAATCAACATTACATTTACAAGTCCTCTTTCTACAGATTCAGAACTAAACTAAAAGAAAACTTACTTTACATAGTGCTCGATACTCTTTCTGGAGGCGCTTCACACAAGCTTTTTCAGCCATTTCTTTTTTGTTATATCAACAATCGAAAAGGAAGACTTCTCTTACCCACTAACTCAAGTACAATGCTCCCTGCAACAGAAAGTCAACACAAAACTCTACACACGAGATATATAATCACTTTCATGATATTTAATCTTTTATTGTAAACAAAATTACAAACTAAGTGCATTGGAGAGTGTATCATGCATTCTTTAGTGGGTTGAAACATTTGATTATTAAATCACATCTGCAACTACGCCATTAGTCCATTACTCATTTGTTTTTAAGATTTCGATTAAGTCTAACCTTCCTAACTGCCACTGCATAATAGAAAAATAATTACGACATTCTTGTCACCCACAAAGAGTTAATATGTCTTAAAAAGTGTCAACACCATGCAATACAATTCACTTTCGAATATCAAATAAATCTATAAAGAACCCACTCCTCCCTCCTCCAGATCAGTATTCATAGAGCTAATTATTACGTATCGACAACAATGCTACATGACTACATGTATATGCATAAAAACTACATCTCCACCTGAGCATTAACATTTCTCTTAATCCCAAGAAATAACCAGGCAACATTAACAATGAGTGAACATCCAACAGAACTGCTTAAATTAAACGAAATTCGACATCTCGTGCTGCACAAATTCCCACCACACTCAAATCTCCCTCAATTCATAAATACTATCAATAATCCTCCAAAAAAATCTACTAAATTCTCCCCCCATTCTCCACCTGAGCAACATTAACATTTCTTGCAATAGAAAGAAACAATCAACGAACAAATGGTGAACATCTAGCAAAATTGCTTAGTTAAAACGAATATTCAACATCTTGCGCTGCAAAAACTTCCGCAACACCTAATTTCCCCAAATTTGAAACACTACAATAACACACCCATAAATCTACTAAATTCTCCTCACAATTCCATCTAACACCAAATCATTCTAACACCACGTAGTGTCCAATCGAAGAGGAATTCTCAATCAAAACCGGAAACCAACTGAACTTGAACAAAAACAACACAAATCTATAAACATAATCTATAGATCATACCAGGGGCCGAGGCAGCCAAATCAAACGAGCTGCTGAGCAAGAAGATCACCCAACCAACCCTAAATTCGACGGAGCTTGAATGGCGGAGGATATGAAATCGCAAGATTTACGGATTTTACAAGTGATTCGAGATGATGCGCAAGCGTTGTGATTTGGGGAAAGCAGGCACCTTTTTGGGGGTCAGATTGCAAAATTTCAACTATTTTTTTTCTTTCGTGAATGGCCACAGCCCACAGGCCCACGAGTCAAGACGACAACTTTTTAGTCTATTATTATTATTTTTTTATTTTTATTTAGTAATACATGATAAAAATAAAATAATATAAATTTATAAAGTGTTTCTTTAAAAAAAAATTGATGAAAAGCTAAATACTTATTATATTTTTACAAAATAACATTTTTTAATATTTAATTATATATCAAATCCGTACGAACCGTTAAAAAACTTTGGCTTTCCCGTAAACATAATAATTAATTTATATTATTTTATCATTTATAATACATTTATGATATTAGAATTTATTAATTATTTATCATGATCTGAACTTTGGCTTTGTAAATATATTTGAATTAATTTGTTGTCTCATCTGATAAAATGACCAATTATTAATGAATTTGTATATAGTTAAAAAAACATTTAATATTTATTTAGTAATACAACATACATAAAATGACTTTTTAGTCTATTTTTAAATTTTTTATTTAGTAATACACGGATATAAGTATAATTTATAAAATTATCTTTTCATTAAGGGTTAATTGCTAAATAAACCTTAACTTTTTTGTGTTTGCAATTTTATCCCAATCTTTGAGTAATTGCAATATAATATCGACTTCAATTTACTTATTGCAAATTTAGGCACAGGATGATTGATTTTAGGGATTTGTGGATCGATTTTGTTTCCAAGTCTTCAATTGACATGGGTTTTTATGCCATCCACGTAGCAAGTTGACAATTTCTACGTATTTAATGTATATCAACGCACAAAGCCGAAAATTCCACGTCAATGTAAGCTACCGCTGATGAGTATCCTCCTAGATCTGGAGTGACCCGGTAAATATGAGCTTCGATATGTTCAAACCGCCTTCAAATCGACCAATTTTTTGAAGGTCCAATCAGTTTTAAGTTTGACTTGCAATAAGTAAATTAAGGCCGAGATTATATTGTAATTACCCAAAGATTGGGATAAAATTGCCAAACGCAAAAAGGTTAAGGTTATTTAGCAATTAACCCTTTCATTAACAATATATATTTCTTGAAAAAATTTAATGAAAAACTAAATAGTTATTAAATACAAAAAGAAAAAATTAAATATATATATATATAAATATAATTTGTCCATTGCAAATGGAGCTGGAAGAGTCATTGTTGACAATTCTTCTGGCATAATGCTAATAATGGACTAGATAAAAATTGCTCAATTAAATTCTAGTGCTTCTTCTATTAGTGAAGTTTCTAGAAAAAAAAAATATATCAAATGACGCAATGCACCTTGGATCGCTACAGAAACAGCCTCCTTGTATAATTACAAGGGTAAGGTCTGCGTACAACTGACCCCCCTCCAACTAATTGGGAATATACTGGGTATGTTGTTCTATATATATATATATTAATATAAGAACAAAAGAAATTTTAAGCTATTTTAAAAAATTTTAATTACATTAAACATATAATTATTGAATAATTTATAATCAAATTATTTTAACTTAAGTTATAATTAACTTATGGTAATGTAAATAAAATTATATGTATGTTTCACTTTAGGTACCATGAGAATAATAGCAGATTTTTTAAATATATAATTAAATACAAAATATATAAATAAAATAATAATAGCCTGGAAAAATTGTAATAAGTATAGACTTCAGAAACTCAAAGCCGTCAGAACACAAAAGCTACTATGAAGTCTCACCCAAGTATGGTAACCCTCTTTTCTTCCAGTGTTCATTGCTCGTTCTGTATGAAGTGGAAGAAACAAGTCGGGTCCCATAATTGCCGAAAAAAAAAAACGAATAACACCACACACAACTATAGCTTCATCCTATCGAAAACTCAAGAATTTGAGCATAACAGAGAAAATTCTGTATGAGTGAGAAAAATCGAGCACTTGAAAACAGCCTCAACCAGACCAAAAAAACTCGATGGTTAATCAGTAATGGCGTCTTTCAGCTTCTTGTCAGAAGATTTCGATGGATCTGTCTTTCTTGTTCTCCATTTTCTCACATTCTTTAAGATTTTGATGATTTTTTCGCTATGAAGAATTTCGCAATCACTTTTCAGCTTTTGTAACTTTATGCTTTTTGCTTCCTTTCCTATCGAAATTGTCACCATTCTTATTCTTTCCTGATTTTTTCCTCTTAGCGGAGCCCTGGTGAGCTAGAAATGGAGAACCTGAATTGGTAGAAAAGGCAGAGGAAATACAAGCGTTGATCTCTTTTCTCATGTCCTTCATTTTTTCCGATTGTGAATTTTGGCGAAGAGTATCCGAGAGAAAAGTTCCACCTCGGGATTTATTCCCATCTTTTGGCCCGAATGTGTCATAGAATTCTTTGTAGGCAGATTGTTTTGAGGTTTGCCTCGATTTCCATTGTTCAGGCCGTTCAGCGAATCTAATGACAACAAGAAAAGAAAAGGGTATATGAGGAAATAATATACACAAAGCAAAGGAAAATCCAGTAATAATGTCTAATTACAATACAAACCATCCTTACTACAAATACGAGCTGACATTGTTACAATTTCAGAAATTGTTTACTGGAACTTTACAGAACTTTTACCCGTAAAGTTCGTAAAGAGAGACAAAACGACCCTATAATATTATAATAAGCGATTTTTGTTAATAGATTGTCAGTGAAGTTATTGTAAATAGGTTTCAAAATATTAAAACTAGAAAATAGCAACCAACCACAAGGGCTCGTTATTTAAATACCGGTTTCATACTAGAACAATTTATCATTGTTATATAGTAATTTTTTTTTTTTTATATTAGGTCCTACCACCATCCATTAAAGTAATTTGGTAACTACGAACTTTTATGAATAGTTATTTGACTCGCATGTGATATGGTGAATTTACATTTAAATAATGTCAAATAATCAAAAGCAACTGAAGAAACTACTATATTGTGAGCTTACCCTGAGACATCAAGTTTCTTCAAAAGATATGGGCCCTGTTTAGTCTTGGACAGCTCTGCTTGGAAAGGTATAAGTTCTGATACAATTGTCTCTCTCATGGAGAAATTGCTTGAGTCGAAGCATTTGTCGACGATAAATGAACCAGAAGGAAGAACAGAGATCTCCCCAAAATGACCTCGGAACCTTCCGTATTTTGTGGCACAGAAAAATAGTTGTAATTAGTGTGAAGTATAGCTGCCCCAAGTCCTCAAATCTCTTGAAATTGCAAAAATGTTAACTACTAAAAATTCGTGCTATGCCTAGATTATACACAATAGATGTAGAACTTAAAAGAGATTATTTAATGCCATACCAGATCGATGTTTTCGATAACTTACATGCATGTATTAATTTCAATCGATGAATTTCAGATTTTAGGATTTATTGCAGAAGTTGTTCCCATTAAATGTCAAAATGATTTTAAGTTTTCTACAATCAGAAGCCTGGCCTAAGTTAGGATTTATTGCAGAAGTTGTTCCCATTAAATGTCAAAATGATTTTAAGTTTTCTACAATCAGAAGCCTGGCCTAAGTTTGTAGAAGACTAAGACTAATCAAGTTGTTCAAAAAAAGGAGGTAAATAAGCAGCCCATCATACTTGACAATCAATTTGTGCTTTTGCTCAGGCGAAGCGTTTGAAATGAGGAAAGCCTCAATAACTCGGGCCCCAGCACGATCTTTTGATGCTTTAAGAACAAGTTTATCATCCAAAGACGTGATGCTGGTAATATAAGGCTGTATGAATTCCTAAGCACAGAAAAGAAGCAACAGGTGTCATCACTTCAAACTCAGGAGTAATAATCAAGATTGAACAAGGTCAAAATTCAAAACGCAAATGAAATAAAAAACGATACTATCAGTTGCCAGAAAGAAAACCAAAATATTAAAGAATTAAATGACAAGTCGATAAAGGTGATACTAAAAATGGAAATAAAAATAAAAATAAAATTGAGTTACAAGATAACTACTCTTAGTCTAATGTGCACAAAATATTTCTCACAAGAAAGTTGCATACTCTTTGAAACTTGAAAACTGCTTGCAGAATCAGAGAACCAAGAACATGTATTTTAGCACCAATCGGCCAATTCCAGTTTGTTTTGTCGGCAGCATAAAAGTAATTGTCGAGAAATAATATCCGAGGGACAATGCATGTGGCTGGCTCGTTCACCAAACAAACAGCATCAGCAAGGGCTTGACAACACTGCCAGCAAAACAATGAAAATCCTAGTCAACAAATAATAGATGCACAATAAAAAAATAAAAGTAAAATAATTGTGAAGGTAAGGGGTTAAACAAAGTTTGGGCTTAAAGTAGTTAAGTACATTCCACTGTCAAATTTGTTACCAGACAACAGAAGTTTTAGCTAAAAAAGCTAGAATTTAATATATATATACATA